AGGTCAGGCGTTCTGCTATCATACTGATATATAATGCTGATGATGTCACGCGCGAATCTTCAAAACCTACCTTGACTGTCCTGCTGTACATGCTCACCCCAACAGCAGGGGGCGCTGCTAGACTAATCGGGAACGAACTCAAACGGTTGTCATAAATCAGCTGAAGAGATCCGTGGACACTTATGCCTTTTAAAATGTGAGCTCATCTCAACGTATCTCATGTGAAATTAACAAGGAAGAATTAAGGGTACTGCACAACTCATTTATATATTTATAAATTAACTTATTTTAAGTTAATTTAATTCTTTAAATCATAAGCAAGATGTAACATTAAGAATTATTTAACGAAGTTATACTGAAGGACAGCAGTATAAGTGTTATTGCCGCATAATAATAATATAATAATAATAATAATTATTATATTATTATTATTTCAGTGCCAATCCCACTACCAACCCCCACAATTTTTCACTGCAAGTTGAGGGACCACTTTCAGGGCCAGATGCAGTTTAAGGTCATACCCAGGACACTGAGGAGCGATTAATCCTGAGGAACATTCCGGACCCACTAACAAGTCATCCATTACTGGAGAACTCGCAGTTAACGCAATAATAATAGATATAACTTTATTGATAGCAACAGGGAAATTCTTTTTTTCGCCCACCCCATCTTGCTCTCCGGGCCAGTGACAGCAGACCACTGATAGCGGCCCCCATGGAGCTGGGGTTAAGGGCCGCGCTCAAAGGCCCACAGACATGTGGCTACCCTGGGGAAGTCAGGCTGGAACCGGCGACCTTCCCGTCACAGGCACAGAGGCTTAGCCTTCGTAATTCGTACTGTTACATTTACAATTTGCTTTGTATTCCATTAACCATTTATATTCTGTGAGCTGACACCAGGAAGGACTATCAAGTAACATGCCTCAGCACCACAGCAAGTTCCAACACTCATCGACGGGAAGAACCACATCACTGGGCACCAGTAAACGGCTCCATGAACACGGGGCACCCTGCAGCTTCAGCTCTGCCATTCCCTGCTCTCCCATGACCAAGCCTGTTTGTTTCCTGACATCACTGGCCAACCAGCAGCCTCCAAAGCCTCCCAAGGAGGATGCCCCCAGTTCCTGTCTGGACTGCTAGCCTGGCCCCGCATCTGGGACACCGCGTTGAACCTTGTGTGTCATATTCTGACTGCCCACCAGAGGACCCCCCCCCCCACCAAACACTACATAAAACTTTACAAAAAGCTTTTTTTGTTTTTCTTCAAAAAAAAAAAAAAACCTTACCTTAGGAGAGTGATGGACAAAATATTAGCTTATGAACCATTTGCTGTATCTTTTGACCCCACTAGATGGTGCTCTTGGTTTGTTTGTGCCCTGTTTTAAACCAGGATTGCCATCTAGTGGGGTCAAAAAAATACAGCAAATGATTCATGAGGCTTCATTTTGTTCATCACTACATATGCACAACATATAAATTCTACAACTCAACTGAATCCATATGTGATTAAATACCTTGGAGAGCGTTAAAATACTTCTGAAAGATTATAACAAATCATGTCTGAAACATTAAGCAGACAGCTATGAAACACAGCACCATATTAACCCAGTGCTATTTCCTTATCACCGACCCTGTCCAGGGAAAGCAGCTGAAAGATGAAAGGATTGATGGATGTATTTCAACAGACAGTTTGACTATGGCAATTTGTCATCTATTATGGGATGGGGGTAAAAAAAAAAAACAGACTTTCTGTATTTTTACCTTTTCTAACAAACTCAAACCCAGCATAGGCATTATTTAATGACATAAATGTCATGGTATTAGAGGACTTGCAAAGGACCATCTAGCAGTTTTAATGCATTTGGAGTGATGAGAGAACGTTCACCAATCCAAATGATCCCTGTGTGAACCTTCAAATATGAGTTTCCACCAAGCTAAGCCTACAGCTAGTATTGCTTAGTGCAGTCTGCGATAAAATCCGTTCCATATTGTAGCATCACATTAATTAACCTTCAGTCACCCTCCACCAACTAATAAAACTAATTCAGCCAAATCGAGAAGCAGGATCATCCCACTGCGTAGGTATTATGTCAAGATGGTCTAATTCTCATTTTCCTGGCAATATCATTTTGTCAGACATTTTGACAGTAAAAAGATCCTGGAATAGAGCGACGCCAGAACTGCTGCAGCTGAGCATCGAGGATCTGAGCATCATGCTGTTCACAGCTAATTCACTGGATCTCGTCCATCCAGTAGATGACAGCTCGTTTACTCCCACATGGATGGAGAGACGCTAAACCGCACAGCGCAGGACAAAAGGAAACGTCAAGACGATTCCACACGGAGGTTCAGTGAAAGCAGCCCGGACACAGCAAATTAAAACGTCATACCTTTATTCGTACACAGTATCCTTCATACTACAAACGACAAGGAACAAACAGGGAGCATAACATGCGAAATGAAGGAGTACAGTGAGTCAAACAGAAAGGCTGCTTTGATGTGAGCTGACAACAGTGAAAGTGCAGTGATGTGTGTTGGGGGGGGGGTGTTTGACAGGGGGGCCAAGTAACCTCGCCCAAAACAGTTTGTACAAAAGTGTATACCTCGTGAGCGTACTGATAATTTCAAACTCAACGTCATTTGTTCGACAACCCTGGGCCAAATGAAGAACGCGGAGGCAGCCCGAATCTTGGTTCAGATTAGACCCAGAGGCCCACAGAGCCGTCCCAAAGAGTGCAGGCCTACCAAACCTGATAGATCTAACATTTTTGTGGAGGGACATGTCTTCTTCGAGATGACCTTAGTCGATCCTATGCATAGGTGTCTTAACATGGGGGGAAATTACATCAAGTGCAAAATTACATGTAAGAATCGCTCTGTGAGGGGCGCCCCAATGGTGTAAAATGCTCAGTGGGGTTGTCTAGGAAATCAACTGGGCACATTCCGGTCTGTCTAACTGCAGGAGCAACTGTCAGTTCACTGTCCCATTTTCCATCCAGGGTAGGACCTCTCATTCTAAAATATCAGAGCAAAATGACCCATTTGATGGAATAGAGGGTCAGTCATGCTTCGTGAAGCAAGCATGTGATTATAATGACATAATGATTTATTAGTGATAAAGAAAATCTACGCATCTCCTATTCCGTCCCCTATTATAAAATTACCTTTAAATATAATTCTCCTTAAACAAAATGTGATATATAATATAGTCTCTTTTGACTTTGTGAACAACTATAAACTAAGAGGACAGTGGAAAGTCAGATCAGGTTTCCTGGGAGTGATTAAGATGGCAGTACAGTGCTGGAGATTACTGTGACATTTCGACTTCACGCACCGAATATGACGCCCTTTAGCACTGCCAAAGGAAACGGTATCTAACACAGTCCTGGGTGCATTCAGAAAACACCATTAACACTGTCTGACGGTACAGAAGGAAAAGGCTGACATTTGTGTCTTAATGGTGACAAAGGCAATGGTCAGATCGTGCTGCATTGTACACAGACAAAAATACTGACATTATCAGCCATGTCTACGGCCCAGACTGTTCGGAGAGCTGGCTTTAGTTACATTAATGGTCCCACAGCTTATTCATGACATGAACATATGATGTCGAGGACAGCAGGAGACAGGATTGCTTCACCATCTACAACAACCCAACACATGACATTTTGTCCAAATTTTCGTTTAAGAGGGAACGCAAAAGATACCGTTATAAAAATCCCCCAAAAAATCCAGCAGTTTCTACACACCGATTTCGACAACCGGTTTTTTTTGTGGAATGTCTCCGCTCCCTTGAATATCGGGACCATCTATAGCCCCCTACAAACAGGATTTTGCTCAATGGAAATGGGTAGCGTGATTCCATACACATGACGGGAGTCAGCGCAAGTCCATCTTCAGCCAATAGGATGCAGAGAAAGCCCATCTTCAGCCAATAGGATGCAGAGAAAGCCCATCTTCAGCCAATAGGATGTAGCTTAAGCAAAATGTGTCCAAAAAAAGAGAAACTCCTCACCTCTTACCTGAACAACTGGATATCTGTAATGGGCCTATAGATCTTAGACTTAAATCACTCCAGATTGCAGTCAGGGTTCCCTCATCCTGAGTTTCCTTATATGGACAAGTTTCACTATGCAGCGTAATAAAAGCATGTTTAACTCGATATAAAAACTACAAATTGCAGGATCTCCTGAAACAACCTGTATGTACAAAATATTTAACAGTATTAACTGGTAACATGGAAAAGGGCATGAGAGATAAAGACAAACTTCATAAAAAAAAAAAATAATACCGAAAATAATGAATCACAACATTTTTCCGCTTAACATTTTAAAAACAGGATTTTCATAAATAGAACACAATATTGAGTAAAATGATGCGATGGCTGGCTTGTTTTAAGTTAAGTGTCATTCATGCCAGGAGGAATTGCGCATTAACTTGAAACACAAGCATGCAACAGGAACCTGCGTGGCAAACGCACAGATACTCCATAGGAACACCTCTGTTCATTTTCAACGAAGCAGCACATTTTCAAGGAAAAGGAGCTGATTTTTTTCAGTAATGCACAAACAAATGAATTCCTGCCCTTTTTTTTTTTATGCAACGCATGGAGTCTCATCCAGCGAGTCTCAGTGGAACATAAAATCATCGCAGCAGCAAACAGAACCCTAACAATACTAATAAACATATGTCAGCATACATATGCAGGATAAATAGAGCAAGATATGGGGGGGAGGGGGATTAACAGTGAAAAAAAATCAGGTTTGATACATAAAAAGAAATAAATTTGAAGTTAAATGATCGGTTTAAAAGGTTAGAATACTTTGTAGTATATTGGTAGGTATAACAATTAGAACCAATTGATTCCAGTACTTTAAAGGGTTCTGCTTAAATAAGTCCAACTCAATATGTGCATATGTGTGTGTGTGTGTGTGTGTGTGTGTGTGTGTGTGTGTGTGTGTGTGTGTGTGTGTGTGTGTGTGTGT